TTATCAGTGATCAGGAAGGATAATAACGAACCTTCTCTCCTACTAGAAGGTGATGCAGGTCCCTACTGGCTCATTTGTTTGGGAATGTCATTTAATGGACTAACAAGGTACAAACTGAGTAACTTGTGATATTAATCAAAAGAATAAAGGAGAAATGAACGGAAGTTAACTGACACATGATTAATACTTCATAATACTGATAATACACACACTGGCACCACATTGTCTCCTGATTTTTGCCTTTTTAGAGCCATTCTTCCTCAGTTATGCAGATATCGTGATGCATCATGTATGATTGTCTTCAATAGTATCCCAGTGTTGCTGTATCGTTATGTGATTTACACCTCTAGCTGTCAGTGGTTTTAGCTCCTGACAAACCAAAGCATGAAAGAAATTATTTTTTGTCACTGTTTTGCACCAAAATCCCCTGAACTTGTTGGTCAGTTTGTCTCCTGACTATAAACTGCATCACTGGGACGTCAACGATCTCTCAAACTAGTCATGTCAAACAAAACAACTCCAGAAGTGAAATTTTGTCATACATGGCGAATGTGACGATAAACAGGTTGAGAAATGAGGTTTTTGTGTATGTGTGTGTGTGTGTATGTGTGTGTGTGTGTATGTGTGTATGTGTGTGTGTGTGTATGTGTGTGTGTGTGTGTGTGTGTGCGCGCGTGTGTGTGTTTGAGGGGGTTGCATCACAGGAAACAAGCTCCCCATCCTGCAGTTGAATGTGACCCTTTGGCCCCGGATCAAATGCTCCTCCGGGGCTGAATACCATGAAGCCTCTGTCCTCTGCACCACGCACTGCTCTGCACTGCACGGACCAGCTCGCTGCTCGCATGAGGGGGAAACGAGGGGGAGACAGACAGACAGACAGACAGACAGATAGGGTGAGGAGTAGAGCTGCAGGACAAGGTAGGAAAATGGGGATACACTGGAGACGAAGGGAGGAAACACAAAAAGGAAACGGTAAGGATGGCGTCGGAGGAAATGGAGAAGGACAACATGCGCTACCTGTGAACAAACAAGCTGCTGTTGTTGTTCTGAAACCAGCCCAACACATGCTGCTGCATCCTAAGAATGTAAAAACCAGAGATACTCACTCCGGCTGTCATGCTCGCCCGACTGCCAAGCGATTGAATCGGAGAGAAGTCGCTCCTATTTTTAGTCCCATGCTCGATAGAGGGATGGAAAAGCAAACAGACAGTAGCTGCACGCGCAAAGCTGAGACAGAGGACGAAAGAGAGAGAGAGGAAGTCTATGTGAGAGAGAGAGAGAGAGGGGCAGTGAAAGGAAGGGAGGAAGGAGGAGTGACTTATTTGTGAAGTTCTGCAAGTTTGGATCACTGGCTCATAGCTGTCTGAGGAGGACACATGGCTGGACTGGGCAGAGGGCAGAGCTGGGAGGCTTTCTCTGCTACAAACAGCAGCTTCTAATCACTCAACAGTCGTTTTTTTTTTGTTTTTATTGTCTCCCATATTACAAAACAGCTCTCTTTTGCACACTTGAGTGCCACATGAATGCCTCTTTGACTTTTTGAGGGGGTTGAAGCTGTACAAGGGGCTTACAGGAGGATTGCCCCGCCATGGAATGTAGTAGATTTGCGTGCAGGGTTGCAGGAAGTTTTTCTTCCCCCTCTCGGGTTCGGAGCTTTGGGTCTGGATCCAGAAAGTGTGTGCGCGTCTTAGAATTCCCTCAGAGACTTGGAACGTCAAACTGGGAGTACTGCGGTAATGGTTTAAAGGACACGCAGCCCCCGCCGCCGCCGCCGCCACCACCACCAGCCGTTTAAACGCACATTATTTGCACCTACGCTCATCCAGAAGAAGGAATTCAGGATGCGACGCTTTGACAAGCTGAAAAAGACATTCCCCTTCCTGGCACACTTTCACGTCTATCGAGTAAGTCCGGCTCGCTGGATCGTCTGCTCTCATTAGTCATCTGAGGGATTTAATTCTTTCGGTAATGTGACACGAAACGTTGCAGCTTGGGTCAAAATCATGTGGTTTGATCAGATGTTTGAAGAGTCATGAACATGGTATGGTGGAGGTCAGCGGACTCTCCAGCTGGACCGAGGCTCTCCTCTGGGAGGGTTGTTGTTATTGCAGCAGGATGTTAGAGCAGAACAGATCTGATACAGGACATGGTTTGGCCAGGAGATGTGTGTGTGTGTGTGTGTGTGTGTTTCTGAGTGTGTGTGTGCGTGCGAGTCTCCACCACCATGAGGAATGAGTTCAGGCCTGAAGTATTTCTCAGCAGGGACATCATGTTGTTTCTCTGCATCTAAATTCCTGCATCCCTCCTTCTCCTCTGTGCGTCATACTTGTTCCTGCTGCTGCTGCTTTTTTATACGTTGTTTACCATATTTTCAAGCACTAAATGTAAAGAAAGTATGCTCCTCAGTTGTTTTTTTAAACGTGACATATGTGTGGAGATGGAGGATCGACATTATGTCCTGATACTGAACTTCTGGCCCGAGCTGGATTCCTCAGAGTCGTGTCACAAGTAACGCCTAATAGTTGGAACATAACATACCTCTTGTCAGCCTCACATCTCCACAGTGTGCATCCTCCTCTTCGTCCTGTTCAAGCGGAACACGTCCCAAATGCCGAGACGTGATACAAATTTTTTATTTCTGGCAGCATCCACTAAAGAAAAGAGGACATTTTCCACCCAAAGCATGATTTGTTTGTGACATTTGGTGACGGTATGTAATCTTGTCTCCTCTATTAGTGTCTGTATGACGGATTATTGCTATGCAGCACCTGTCTCCGATACTGAAACATGTGGTATATATATATGTATACCTGTTTAATGGGTTTGTGAAATGGTTAGCAAGTTTACAGATAAATATAAATGCTTCAGCACCTTGATTTTGACCCCTCATGCCTCAGATGTGACACTGTCATGGAAAGAGGCCCAGGAGGAAACTGAATTGCGTCTTTGGCACCATCCAGAGAAATAACACTTACGTGTTGACTGCCAGGGAAGATCAGACTTGGCGCTGCGTTGCAGAGGATGAGGGGTGTATTAGTTGGTGTGTGTGTGTTCCATATAGGGAGAAAGGCTTCCCCTCCTGGATGCAAATGAAAACGTGTTTGTTTAAAATGTCGCTCGGGAGAAAGTTTTGCTTTAAACCCTTAGTGGTGTGAACTGCAGCTCAACCTGAGCATGCCTCGTGGGACAGTAGGAGAGCCTTTGGCACGGGTTGGCCTGCAGCAGAGCAGCCAAACAGACCTCTGGATCATCTTTCTCTGGTAGGAGTCCGGCATGATGCAGCAAAATGCAAAATATGGAGATGGATTCAAATGACTGCAGCTGTAGTTAATCCTAAAGCCACAGGCACTGCTGGCTCTCGGTTTGTCCTGGATGTCTGTGCAACGCATCCCGGCTTATACGTTGGGTTATTTATTAGCTGTTATTACCTTGTACTTTTGATTCCAACAAGCAAGCCAACATCAAAGAATGTTCTCACAGCGTGAAAAAAACAAGTGGACAAAACCCGACTCCGAGAGCCAAAGCGGCACATTGCAGAGATGTCAGCTGACCCACTTTTATGGTTATTGGATTGAGTTTGTATCTGGATACGAACATCTGGCATAACCATTGGGGACAGAGCCCTCCCAGCGGACTGACCTCAGCCGGACCTCACATCCGACATTCGTGGAAAATACCGGACCACTCACCCTGAAAAGACACGGTAGAGATCAAGTGTTTGGGGATTGGCGACACACAAACTTTATGTCTGCATCCCAGCGTTAGGTGTGTATTTGTGTGTGTGTGTGTGTGAGAACGATCTTTAGCTCCTCGGGCCACGGTCATTAAGCAATAGGAAGTGGCCTCTAACCAAACCCATTAGGAAACTTAAATGGCAAAGAGGAAGCTGCGACCCCTGTGACACTTTCCTCTGGACCTTGTAACCTTGCCGCAGCCAACACAGGAAGTTCCTCATTCACAGAGACTAATTACTCGTCTATGGTGTGACCTCTGCAGCCCAGAGCCCCTACCGCGACGGTGTCCCTGTCAATCTCCGCAGAGGGGGAATGTTTACCATTTTTTCGCTTGATTACGTTGGTTTACCGGGTCACTTCCTGTCAAACATGAAATAGTGTTTCAAGCAGGTGTAGTTCTTTAAAGTTCTTTACTCTGAATTTAATCTTTCAACTTGACTAATGGACCAATGAAGGAGCCCATCAGGATGTAAGCAGAGTTTCAGCAGCTTGTTGTTTGTTAGTTTCAGCTGGTTGCATTAAGTGGACAGTGACGGATGGTGTTTCAGCTGGAGTTTGCGTTTTGATGTTGAAGATTGATGGTCTTACACAGTATCGTATGGAGGGATGTAGTATATATAGATATCTATATTGTGGTCGGGCTGTTTTTGGGCCTTTCTCTTTGTCTTCGCTGACACTTATGGACACCAGATGTGCATAATTCATCTCGTGTATCACTTTCTCGCTGCGGCGCCGTGATATCTGAGGAGTGTCGACGTTGAAGCTGCCAAAAACAAAGAGGCTATTCCATCTATTTTGACGTTGTTGATAAATTGCAGGTTCACCACCACGATGACACCAGATCTGCCCGATCGATGGCTACCTGCCGTGTTTGAAATGAAGTCGATGTGCTTTTTCGGCCCGCTGACAAGCAGCTCAGGCTACATTTGGCCTCCTCGCCCTCTACGCCTTTGTGATCAGTCTGCATTGTGTGCCGGCGTTTGAATGTACACGCATGTTTAAGACTTCCTGCCGCCTGATGTAAATGTCAGAGTGTGTAAGCAGGTATTTTAGTGCTGCGAACAATTACAGGACAGGAAACAATGGCACTGAGCTCAGTTTCCTATTTTTCTTACAGAAAAGAATGGCTTGTTTGTTGCTCAGCGATTTTCTCTTTGGATGTATTTTGCAGATTTTGGAGCAAGCATTGAGAAAACTGCTGAATGAATATTGAATGATTTAAACTCAGTTTCCTGTACTCTTTGTGTGTGTTTTTTTTTCCTCCAGAAACTGGGCAGTAGCATGCAGTGTGAGGAAGGAACAGAATGGCTGCTGGAGCTGCTGATGGAGGTGCAGCTGCAGCAGTACTTCCTGCGGATCCGAGATGACCTTAACGTCACGCGGCTGTCACACTTCGACTACGTCAAGAATGAAGACCTGGAGAAGATCGGCATGGGTCGACCTGGTGAGACAGAGCGTCTGTGTGTATGAGAGTCTTGTCAGTTCTTTGTTCTGAGGATGTGTTTTTGTATATTTGTTTGTCTTGTTCACCCAAAAAGTCAAATTCTAGTTTGGTTGTGCTGCGATCCTGAAAAGAATCTTGGTTAAGCAACATCACATTAGACTTGTGAGTAAGTGTAGCTGTAGCTGTATTATATTGTAATATCTGGCTGAATTCTAGTGTGTTCCTCCCAGTCCAAATACATTTAGGCCTCAACAAAGTTTTCCTCATGGCTCTCTTTTACTTTATTTTCGGGCTTGCAGCTCCTGGGACGACAACGTCTTCGTGTCAGTTTGTCAGTTCTCAGACGGTGAATCTTACCGACTTAAATGATCTGATATTTCTTGCAGGTGCAACCAGCACTTTGCCCAATACTTTGGTTTGTGAAAAAATACTTTGAACCTAATTTAATTCCCAACAGGATTTGACTGATGTGGTTCTTCAGGGCCGATACCAATTATTAGTAATCAATGAGACCAGTGAACGATATTTAGAACCGATGTACCTTTGCAGGAAAAATGAAAATCTTGGCATCAAAATTCAGAAAACCTTTGTGTAAATGTGTTTGTTTATTTGTGTTTTACATACATTTAAGAGAACTTTCCAACATTTATCCTTGAACGTCCAACGTCTGTCACTCTTGGCATCGAGCCAATCAGATTTTGCTGGAATCCACAATGTGGTGACTACAGACGGGGAGGTGGCTGCATCTGAGCCAAAGTCTGGCATTTTTGAATGACTGAATTTTAATTTACAGTATTCATTTATTAAAAAAAAAAAAAAAAAAGAAATTCTGAGCATCAGATTGGATAACTGTCCAGACTGATAATCATCTACCCCTAATTCCCATCAGCCTCAGTTGTTCTCCCTTTTTAATGCTAATTATCAAATGCTAACATGCTAAATTAAGGTTGTGAGCGCGGCTAACATTATAACTGCCAGCATAATCATGCTAGCGCTGCCACTGTAAGGATGTTAGAACGATGACCGTAGATGCCATTAGCGGTTAGCGCTATGCGTAACCTCAAGTATTACTTCTGCGTTCGGTCGTGGCACGGTGTCACTTGGCTCCCCCTCAACGTAGCTGGAGAGAATCCTCCATCGCTAATACCCATAATATCATTTTAAAGTCACAACTGGCGATTAGTGACAATAGGAGGGGACACTGAAGCGCCAGATCTTTTGTCTGTGGTGAGTGTGTGTGAAGGGGATCACAGCAGTAATGTTCTAAATCCAGTTACTGAAGCCCTCAGGGCCTCGGCTGCAGAGCCGCTTAAGACTAATTACACCCACTTCTCCTGCTCATATATTCACTCACATCTCAGCTCGCTGCGCTCCAGCCTTTTAATATCGCTTCCTCTGCTGTCTTGCTCGTCTCTTTTCATACTTTATCTCCCATTAACTTTTTCAGTTTGCTCTTCTTTCACAGCCTGGTGTTTTGTTCATGGCTTACGTAGCTTTTCCAGTTGTGTGAGGTTAATTAAAATCCAGCATAATGCCCTTTCTCCCACTTTATGGTGCCTCTTGTTAGATCCATATGAGAAGAGTCAGTTACAGTCTTGATTCTTTTTCGTGTTTTTACAACTAACCAGCACTGCTTTTGTCTGTTTCTGCTGTTTCCTCTCGACACAGGCCAGAGACGGCTGTGGGAGGCTGTGAAACGGAGGAAAGCCATGTGCAAGCGCAAGTCCTGGATGAGCAAGGTGACAAACATAGACAGGCACACACAGGACTCATTTATAATGGTACATGGTATGCCTGGCAGTGTGTCGCCACCGTGGCATCTGTCTGTATGAAGCAATGCGGTTACGTTCATGTGAACACAATGACTCGTGGACAATACATGGGAGACACCCAACACTCTGACCACAGTGTCCCTGTGGGAACACCACATTGTCAACGCTTTCTAAACCAGTTTCATCAGTTTTTGATATTCATTAATTGATTCAATCTCTATTTATACTCGAGAGATAATTGAAGGGCGACCCTATTTTTCAATGACATCGAATCTACTTGTGGAGCAAGAACCAATCACTGAGCCAGTCTGTCTGAATCAATCCTGAGAGGTAGCATGGCCTACTTACCTCCCAGTAAAGGGCTTCATAGATAAAAGAGATATCAGTGAATATCGCCTCCGCTTTGGAGCGCAGACCACCCAACCTCGCCGTAGACAGAGCTGGTAATAAACCTCCTGACAGAGTGATAGATGAGGTTCAGAGGTTTAAGAGTACAAAAGGATGCCACACATACATGGGTAATTTTTAAAAAAAGACAATTGAAGCACTGTGAAGAGCACGTCAGGCAGCGTATAACCAAAAAGACATGTTGGCCCGTCAGAAGCCTGAAAAAGAGTCTATTTCAAGCTCTGGTAGGTTAAAAGCAATGATGTGCTGATGAAGGTGTGGAAGGGGGAATCACATGCGTGGACTGATTCTGACGTCTCTGTTTTTTAATAGAAAAATAAAATGTTTTGCCCACATCTGCTGCTGCACAAAGTCACCACATGCAAACTAAGGATGCCTGTTTTTTCTGTCTTCACTTGAACACCGCAAGTAGAGTTTTTGAAAATCTTCACTTTGAAAGGATTTTCCAAAAACTCAATTTGCAGTGAGCTGAAAGTCAATTTGCATGTGGACTAAAGACCGAAATGCATTTAAAAAGCTACATTTAAAATGTACATGCATGTGGTGACAAGGCTTAAATCACAGACTGACATTAAAACTGTCTGAACAACTCTTTTCCTAGAGAATATGGGAAAGATGCTTTTATTTCTGTAGATGAAGACAATATTGAGTCAGCAAAACTTCAATGTTAAGCTGTTTATGTGTTATATTTTGTGTCTCTTTATATTTATATATGTTTACACATAGCTGGGTATTTCAAAAACGGATCTACGTTTTCAAAAATAGCATCGTTCACACCAGAACGTTTAAAATAAAATCTTCGTTAACACAAACCCGCATAAACACGTCGTTGAGAGCTGCTATGAACTGCCAAACCTATAGGGGGCAGTGTAATGAGAAGCATAAAGCCATGCTAGCCAATCAGAATCGTGTAAAAAACATGAATTACTTCCTGTTGCTTCAACGATAATGGCGCGAGGTTTGTTTGTTTGGACTGACATGGAGCTACACAACAAGGAAAATACTTGAAAATGTTGACTTTCTATCACAGCAGCCAAACTTTAAACATGATCGCACACATATGACGCTGATGACGCTTTTGTCACACACTGTGATGTCAAACTCCGTCTCCTCCCGTCTACATGCAAACGTAAAGACAGAGTTTTTCCAAATCTCCACTGAGGCCAGAGTTGACCGGTGACTTGTAGCTTCGTTTACGTGTAAACCAAAGGCCCATTGATAATATCACCGTTTTTCCTTCGTGTAAACGGGGCCTAAATCTGTACGTGGTATCAAGAGCATGATAGTCTATGTCTCTGGCTCTGGAAAATTAGTTGAGTCCCCATTTATGTGATGTGAATCAGTTCTGCACTTGATGCCAGTTTGCAACAACAGACCGATAATGGAGGTTGTGTGTAAATGATCACTTAGTGTTAAGATTTGCCGGATCAGTCTGTGATGATTATTGTGATTATGGAGGAGGTCTCTGCTGTCTTGGTTGGTCTCGTGTGTTCTTTATGAAAGAGAAACTCTGCAGATGCACATGTGTAGGAAACATTCCTGGATGAGCACGTCCACACACACACACACACACACACACACACACACACACACACACACACACGAGTCGAGTCACAAGAGCTGGTGACACACAGAGCACTCACACAGACGAGGCATTAAGTCTCTCCCTTAAAGAGACACAAGCTTATTCACTTTCTTTAAATAAAAAGATGAATTAAAAGGCAGAGAACCCAACGGTATCCTACACACAAGCTGACAGCAACACTCAGAGGAATGAAGTGAGGCGAAGGAGCGCTGAGGAGAAGCTGTCAGTGTCTCTGGCAGCGCGTGTTGGCCGTGTGTCGCCGCGCTGCTCGCTGCCCGCCATCTATAATTACACCTGTCTGTTTCCGCCTCTGGCACCATCCTCAGATAGAGTAATCTGCTTCCTCAGCCCGCCGCGTGTGTGTGTGCGCGCGTCGCTCCGCCATAGTCCGAATCCTTCGGATGTCGGGGCTCCTATTTGAAACCGACAAACCGCACCGCCACCGCAGAGAGGTGGTGTTTTTAAAAAAAGGCCTGCAGCATTATGTCATGTCTGGTCCAGTGTGAATGTGAAACCGCATGCCGCTCGCTACTGTTTATATCCAGCCAGTCAAATATGTTTGGCACTGGGGATTCATTGACACCTCTTTTTCACCGATGACACCATTTCTGAGAACTGACCTTTGTTCTTGAGCCAGTAGGAGGCAGTTATTTTATGATTTTTTTATTTTTTATATCCGATGTGCTGCTCTCCTCGGTAGCTGATGTCACCACCGGTTTCTGTGCATTCCTATTTTGGTAAACAGTTTAACAAAAGGTTTCCCCCTTAATGGCTGCACAGCACGCGCATTGTTTAGGTTCACATTTAGGCGATTGGAAAGGAATCGCACACGGCAAGCGTGCAAACAAAACGCACAACAGAAACATTCAGGCCACTTAATCTAATAGTGGCTACTTCCTCACAGCTAAGTCATTCCTGCTGTGTTGTCAGTACTTAAGCCAAGTGGCAGGAAATTTCTCTCTTGCCCCTAATGATAAGTGTTTCTGTGTGTGTGCATAGTTTACTACTGACTACTCGTTCAAGTCTTGTGCATTCACAGAATCAACACATTTCTACATCGAGCTTGTGGCTGTGGTTTTTGAGTTTGACTGTAAAGCGGCTGTTTATGATGTCCTTAAGCCCGAATAAGAGTCAGTGAATCACCGCTGGGTAGTTTTTTTCCATGAAAGTCATAACTTCTGTCTGCCACACACACACCCTCCTCACACACACTGTACACACCACACAAAGATGCACGTCTACGGCAGAAAAAGAGGAAGCGGGATGAAGAGCTTCGCTGTTTGAGCCGGAGGATAAATTAAGCTCGTACTTTTGAGGTTTCAGCACCTTACAGTGGAGTTGTGGCTCTGGAGGTATGCGGAGGGCCCCGCCAAAGCTGACACTAACATAAAAATTATAACTACGGCACAGCAACTGTTATTGGAGCGCTTGTGCTGCTGCTTTTAACTTTCTCCTACCTGTGTCCGGTGTCAGTGGCGCTGGTTGGTAGTGAAGACGTCAGGCAGCAGGTTGGAAAAGTTGCTGCTCACATCAAATCAAATCGAAGGAGAGAATACACAAGCTTCTCCATAATGACTGACACTCACATGTAATGTTGCAGCAGTTCTGTGACTTGAGGAAACAAGTTTAAAGTTATATCTAAGCTACTTTAAGGCAGGATAGGGATCATTTATGGTAAAAAGTCTTACTCCAAAGCAGAGATGAGATGAGGGGTTAAATGAACCACCAGTAGTTTTGTTGAGTTGTGGGTTGAGAAGGTGAACGAGTCGGGCAAAGTGGATGAGAATGAGGTGTAAAGAGTTGTCTGTGAGGCTGACAGAGATGGAGGAAGTCAAGTTTAGTGTCTTGTGAGAGCAAAGTGAGCAGTCAAGCTTATGATTAGACGCTAAAATCTCTTCACTTTTCAACCCTGTACACCCTCCAGCTGCAGGGCTTAAAGCACAGAGAGGAGGATTTCACAAAATGAAGAAATAGCTTCACTGACAATGTCTGAATATGGGGCTGCAGGGTGGCTCTGTGGTTAGCATTGTTGCCCTGGAGGTCACTGGTTCGCATCCCGGTGAGGACACCCGGAATCTTTCTGCGTGGAGTTTGCATGTTCTCTCCGGGTTCTCCGGCTTCCTCCCACAGTCCAGAAACATGTTGAGGTTAATTGGTGATTCTAAATTGTCCGTAGGTGTGAATGTGAGTGTGCTTGGTTGTCTGTCTCTAAGTGTAGCCCTGTGATAGACTGGTTACCTGTCCAGGTGAGCCTGCCTTCACCCTGAGTCAGCTGGGATAGACTCCAGCCCCCCATGACCCTAGTGAGGATTAAGTGGTGTATAGATAATGGATGGATGTCTGAATATGCAAACAAAACACATACACTTAAAGTGAGTCTTAATGTTAACCTAAAGGGTCAAAATGGCAGAAAAAAATGCACAATCTGCTCCAACAAGAGTCTGGCAATTGCATCTAAGTCCAAATACAACTTTTAAAGCCATAAAACAAACAAACCAAAAGATCCAGATGTCTGTTTTTTTCAGTGCTTGTTACTTCGTTGGTCTCTAAATAGCATATGTGGTATAAACGACTGGCTGTGAAACTGGTGCATAAGTTAAAAAAATGTGAGAACAAACTGAATGTAAAAATGTGTTTTTTTAAGCTAAACCACAGTGTTATTAATAAAGTAGACATACTTTAATAATGCAATATACATGGCACTTATGGCTGTAAACATACATATACAGTCATATTATTGCTGCCCTGCAGTTAAAAATATATGCAGCATAATTTAATGACATAACATAACCTATTTTTGAATTTTAAAAGACCTTGCGTTGGGATTTTGGAACATTTCTGGACAACTTTAAGTCATGCACATGTACACACATATTAAATTCCACATCTTCATTTATAAGCAGCTCAGTTTCACTACTATTTCATAGTTTGTTACTGATACGTGCTAGTTTTTGTTGACCTCTTTGTCTTTTCCTCTGTCCCTCTATAGGTGTTCAGTGGTAAGCGTCCAGACGGAGGAGACTTCCCCCAACAGGGCCAACCAGCGTCCTCGTTCCGTAAACTCTCCCCCACGCCTCCCCTGGGCCTGGAGGAGGGAGTCCTGGCCACCCAGCCCAGCGGCAGTGCTCCTCTTGATGGGCAGCAGCAGGCTCTGACCTGCCTCATCCCAGAGAAGGACTTGACGGTGTTTGAGAAGCTCGGCGACGGCTCCTTTGGCGTCGTGAAGAGAGGAGAGTGGCTCACACCTGCTGGGAAGGTGGTGAGGACGCATATGCTTGTCAGATTTAGTTACAATTTAACTAGCTAACTATGTTTTGGAACTGACTTTAAAAGAAACTGGGGCTTGGTCGCACTCCTGACGAAGCAAGTTTGACTTATCCTGGCTTTCTTTGTGTTAGCCAGCTTGACAAAACCTAAAACCTCATTTAGAGAAAACAGGTATCATGCTGGTAGTTTAAATCTTCTTTAAGTCAGGCTTTATTCTCTGTTTATTCTGTGTCATTTCATTTTTCCTCTGCACAAAATGGACCGATTGTGTGCCGCCTACTTCAGTCAAGAGTAGTTATAAAGAAGATAAATGCAGAACATAAAAATGTATTACCATAAAAAGCGATGCTACAGCAAATGATGTAAGAGAAGAATGCTGGTAGAAAACTGTAGTTCATGTAGGTTCATATATTTGTTTCCCTCGTTACTGCACATTAGAGCTTTAAAACTTTAAACTTCATGCATTTTATCATGTTGAAGAAGTGGAACTGTGGAAATCACTTCAGTTTTTGGCCAAGTCAAAGCAGAATTAATGTTACTGATTGAATGTCTGCTGTAATAAATAACGATAGAAGGGCTGCAAGGTGGCTCGGTGGTTAGCATCGTTGCCTTGCAGCAAAAAGATTGCCGGCTTGCATCCCGGTGAGGACACCCGGGATCTTTCTGTGTGGAGTTTGCATGTTCTCTCCGGGTTCTCCGGCTTCCTCCCACAGTCCAGAAACATGTTGAGGTTAATTGGTGATTGTAAATTGTCCGTAGGTGTGAATGTGAGTGTGCTTGGTTGTCTGTCTCTAAGTGTAGCCCTGTGATAGACTGGTGACCTGTCCAGGTGAACCTGCCTTCACCCTGAGTCAGCTGGGATAGACTCCAGCCCCCCCGCGACCCTCGCAAGGATTAAGCGGTGTATAGATAATGGATGGATAGAAGTACCAATAGACTAATCAGTTGTCTGTTGCATCATCAGGAAATTAATTGATTAAAGGGAGATGCTTCTTACAGCAGTTTTAAATCCCAAACTCTGAACAGATTAGGTTATCTATCAGTTACCATGGAGATCTAGCTGGAATAAAACAGAGCCACCTTTATGATGTAGAAAACTTTGACTTTAGGCTCAACACACCTCACTAACCCCCTCATCCTTCTTTGTAGCACAGCCCTCAGCAGCTCTTTTGCATAAAACATGTGCCTTATTTTAATTTTATGCTGATTTAGGAATAAATAAAAGTAGGTGCGTTTTAAGGGAATGTCATTAAAACTGCTCAGACACTCTCTGTGTGTTGAATGAATTTAAATAACTGTTTTGAACCTCGTTTTCCAGCTGAACGTAGCCGTGAAGTGTCTGAAGACGGACGTGCTCAGCCAGCCCGACGCTCTGGAGGACTTCATCTGCGAGGTCAACGCCATGCACTCCCTGGACCACCAGAACCTCATTCGCCTCTACGGTGTGGTGCTCACACACCCAATGAAGATGGTAGTGGACACACAGAAATCTCACACACTCAGGGAGGAAAGTGCAGACAGATAAATGCCAGAACACATAGACAACACTCAGGCAGTTGCTTTCTCTCTGTGCAAACACACACTTCACACAAATGCAAATGTGGAGAGACAAAACAAGGGATGACATTTCAGTTTTGTTGCTTTCGACCCAGCGCTACCTTGTGCTTATTTCCTCTGCTGTATTTTTGATTCATACTGACAAGCAGCTTGTAGACCACATCACATTCTCCTTTACTCTTGCACATATTTCCTCCTCGTATTCTTTCTCCTTTTCGTCTTCAAACCATCCGTGTGCTTCTTACTCCTGCGTTCCTCCTTCCTCTTTTCACCCACTGTCTCTTCATCTGTCTCTGTAGGTAACAGAGTTGGCTCCTCTGGGTTCTCTGCTGGAGCGTTTGCGGTGTGTTCGTCCGCAGGGTCCGGTCCTGATCCACACTCTGTGTCAGTACGCTGTGCAGGTGGCCTGTGGGATGGCCTATCTGGAGCAGAGGAGGTTCATCCACAGGGATCTGGCAGCCAGGTAGGGGACAACCAACCTTGGCAGCGACAAAGAAACCTTACTCCTTACATTCGTGAATTTGGGAAATATTTATATTGCTTCTCCTTCTCCTCCACCCAAAAATTTACAGGCCATTACTGGCAGACTTGGCCCATAAGTGAAATGAGTCACTGCTTGGCTGGCTGCGCTGGGTGGTCTACGTTCTCGGTCTTGCCCAAATTAGTCACTTTCATTTAAGTGTTGACACTGTGTAGATGTTTGAGAAAAGAAACCTTAATGGCTGGTAAAAATGAGTCACTTTCCCAGTTAAAGCTGTGATAAAATGCTAATGACTGCACACAGCTGTTGCAGCGTGTGAAACATTAGCAAGATTTCTCAAGATGTGCCGGTTTTTTACCAGGAAGTTCAGTTTACTGTTCATGAACACCTGGTTGAGCGTCCTGTGATGTGAAGGTTTTTGGTTTCTTCCCACTGTTGTGGACTGCTTGCGGACTGCTGAAGCTTATAGGGAATCCAAATGTTTTGGATTGTTGGGTGTTTCTGTCTCTGCCTTTGTGAAGCGCTATGAGATGACTTGTTGTTGTAAATATGCGCTATACAAATAAAACTGAATTGAATTGAATTGAATTCAGAATGTGACAGCGCTCGACTCGGACTCAGTCAGCGGACAGCGCGGATGTCTTTGAATATTTGTTTTTACTTGCCACACAGTGAACATGTGGCGTAGGATTGTGTAGCTTTCGTTTTGGGATCATTCTGTCTTTGGAAGCAGCACAGCGACACTTTAAATTCCTCTGTGACTTTGTGTTATATAAGTTAACACCTGCAGACTACAGTGGACTATGTAAGGGATGTGTTTATGGAGCAACTGCCTGCTGCTTCTGGTAAATGAAATGCCAACAGGGTGATCAAGACCCTAAAGTTGTCATTTCCTGTAAACCTGCAGTTAGACATAAAAAAAAAAAAAACCCTGACATTTTATGACCCACGTGAAAGAATCATGCATACCTCGTGCAGAAAATATGAATACAAGGCTGGCGTGTTTTCACATTTGCAGAGCAGATCTCCATGCTTCTCACATGCATAGTTTCATTGATTGTAGTAGAAACGTAGAGGTTCAGCAGCCGCTCCTCTGAACAGTCCACACGTGTGTTCAATGTAACGCTTACATAACTGCATGAAGCAGTCTGTTGCACAGCTGGATGACTCTACATTGACCATCACCATACCAAGAGGGTTTCAAGTGCATTTCTAAAACTTATTTTTATTTTCTTGTGTTAAAAATTCAATGCGATTACCTCTGTAGTGTCTCCATAGATAGTTGAGCTGCTTTTGTATTTACTATTGAAATAGCAATCATTATTAATATGAAAAACAAACTGTATTTCTGCAGACTTAGTTTGCTGTTTTCATGTTTATTTTAAAATGTTCAGGCTCCTGTTTTACATACATGTCTGTCTCTTCAGGAACATCCTGCTGGCTTCAGCTCACAGAGTGAAAATCGGAGACTTTGGCCTGATGAGGGCGCTGCCTAACAACCACGAGCACTACGTCATGCAGGAGCATCGCAAGGTCCCGTTTGCATGGTGGGTGAACTTATCAACGGTAACTAAAGCTGTCAGTGAATATGAACCAGGGATAGATTTGAGCAGTTTTGGATGCTAAAACGTGAACCTCATTTATTTTACTGAAGCTGCTCTCTGTAGAGACGTCTGATTGGTCAAAGCTGCTCCTGATAATTCTTGTTAAAGCAGATTTGCACATTTACTGTTTGGCTAAAAACCTGTCTTTCTTCTGTTGTTTTTTAAATTCATATGCATGTATAATTTTGGTTAAATGTAATCAAATAACACGCTTGTAAAAAGTCTTTTTCTGTCAGAGCGGCCATGTTTAAACACTGAGTTCATTCCCTCTGCAGACCTCAGACCAGTACGCTGCAGATAACTGGTTTATACAGTGTGGTGTCCTGTTGCAGGTGCGCCCCAGAGAGTCTTAAGACGAGAACTTTCTCCCATGCTACAGACACATGGATGTTTGGAGTCACTCTGTGGGAAATGTTCACACACGGCCAGGAGCCTTGGCTGGGCCTTAATGGTAGTCAGGTGAGCACGCAAAGAAAAACAACTTGTTCAACACTGTCTACATAAATACAAACGCCCTGAAGCTAATGTAGGAACATTTACTCATATTTACACAGATGTATTCTTCATTTGTCCTCTTTTGTCTCCTAAAAAAAAAACCAAGATTCTCCATAAGATTGATAAAGAAGGTGAGCGTCTCCCTAAGCCAGAGGACTGTCCACAGGACATCTATAACGTCATGCTGCAGTGCTGGGCTCAGAAACCAGACGACAGACCAACCTTTGTCGCTCTGCGGGAGTTTCTGCTCGAGGTAGGAAAGCAGTCATTTGGATGGTGAAATGTGTCCCTGCAGGCTGTTCATTTGAGGGATTTTTAAGCTTTATTTTTGAACAATTAATATCTCTGTTTATGCACAGGCGGCCAGTTTCCTCAACAGTCTTTGTATAAATGGACTTTTAGCTCCATCTAGTGGAGATATTTTGAAGCGAAAAGTGAAAGGGCTAAAACAACCAGGTCACAAGTATCTTTGTCTTTTCCAGACGATGCCCACAGACATGTGCGCCCTGCAGGACTTCGATGAACCCGACAAGCTGCTGATCCAGATGAATGATGTCATCACCATCGTAGAGGGGAGGTGGGTGATGAGGTTTACACTCAAGTTGTTTTTATGCAGTAAAGCTGCTCCCCCAAACTCACCGCTGTTAAATAAAGGGTGGAGCAGTGTTTAACAGCGTTGACTCACAGTTCCAGTTTCCAACCACAGTCCAGAAGAATGCATGTTAACTGGTGAACGTCAGAATGACTGTACGTCTGCGTCAGCGCTACACATGCAACCTGTTGAGATCGTATCCCACCTCTCTCCTAATGTCAGCGAGAGCTTTCTTCATTAGTTGTCAATTAATTAAAGAACTGCCAACTATGCTGATGACTGAATAATCATTTTGAGTATGTTTTAAAGAAAAAAAAGTACAATTCTTCTCTTCTCTGCTTCTTAACTTGGAATATTTTTGGTTTTTTTGCGCCTTTGTGACTGAATAAACTGAATATCTTTGGGTCGTGGACCAAACAATCTGAGGACGTCATCTTGAGCTTTAAGGAAAACTGATTGATACTTTTTACAATTTTTTGGACTCTTTATAAACCAAACAACTAATCGATTAATCAAGAAAAAAAACTGTGAAAAACAGTGAAAATGAAAAACTGCAGCCCCCATGCAAACTTCTAAAAGATAAGCACATATAGCTGATGGACAGATGTATAGTGGAGAAAACGTACTTTAAATCAATCTCATTTCACTAAAAAACCACAATGTGGCCAAAAAAAGGCCAAAAAATATCTAAAAAAAAAAAACAAAACAGCGTACAGGTCTTGAGGTCAGACACATTTCGACATGCGTTGCTCCTTCATGCTCACAAATGAAATGTTTTGTAATTTCTGTCAAACTAAATGCACTTTATTTAAATTGATAAACTACTGTTATTAAGGGTGAGGGAACACATTTTGGCCTCGACCCTCAGCGCTGGGTGTCCTGTTTCACGCTCGACATCTCACCGTGTGTTTCAGGGCAGAGAACTACTGGTGGCGAGGTCAGAACAAGCGCACCCTGAAGGTCGGACAGTTCCCCAGGAACGTGGTGACGTCGGTGGCGGGTCTGTCGGCGCACGACATCAGCCGGCCACTGAAGAACAGCTTCATCCACACGGGACACGGAGACTCCAACCCTCACCGCTGCTGGGGCTTCCCCGACAGGATTGACGAGTAAGAAACACATCCTGTTTATTTAGGATTGGATGAATTACGGATGTCAAATACAAACAACAGAAAACACCTTAAAATGTGTCTGCCTGGTCTGTTAAATGTCTCTATTGTAGCACCAATAAACAGCCACCAATAGATGGCACCAGCAGACTGCTTTAAGTGGCCACCGGCTTATTGAAACACCTGAGTAGGTTACACTCAACTTAAGCTGACATTTACTCTGCCTAAGTCCGTCCCTCTCTTCCCTCCAGTTTGTACCTCGGGAATCCCATGGATCCTCCTGATGTTCTGGGTTTAGAGTTCGGTTCTGCTCGGCCCACGCAGCTACCGGGACGAGCTAAAAGTGAGTGAAAGAGCTGATGAACTTCAGCCATTTTAACCGACATGTTTTCTTTGAATTTTGGGACCAGCCAACCTGTTCAATGCAGCTGAAATATTTCGATGTTTTGCTGAATTATAACTTTAATTACAAGTATATAAACAAACCAAATCCCTATACTTATACACCTAGTCTTCAATCCCAGTCATCAGATTCCACATTGAGTCGTGGCAGTGAAACAAAATCACCTGACAGCTTTCTTTCCATAACAAAGCTTTCATATGCACTCTGACATTTGCTTGTTTGTTTTTCTTTAATCTTACTATCTCTGCTGCTCTTATTTTTCCCTCCCTCTTTGTTTCCTTTGCGGCGGCGGCATCCATTTTTTAAAATTTTTCCAGAGGAGCCTCCTCCCCGCCCTCCTCAACCAGCAGTTTTAATCAAGAGTAAGTTTGGTTTCTCTGAGCAGCTCCTCACCCATTGCTCCTGCCCTCTCTGTTCCCTCCTAGCTCCGCTCCTCAAAGGTACATTCGTCTTTTCTTCACTTGTCTGTGCAGTGGTTTTCCTCAGCTTCCTTATTCCTTAACATCAGTGTTCCTCCATCTTTCCATCCCGTTCGCCCTCTAACAGGTGTGCAGTGTCCTTGCTTTGCACTGTAGGACTAACCTCACACCTGGAGAGTGTGTTTTGTGGTGTCTTAAAGAGCCTCTGTGTCATTACCGTCTGAACTTTATTCAGTGAAGTAATGAATGTCTTTTTACCTCCAGAACCTTGCTATGACCCAGTAAACGAGGAGGAGGATCTGACCTCTGCGGGACTAAAGAGATTATCGCTGCGGAAAACAGGTTCTGTCAAAGGCCTCAAACTCAAGCCGGCCGCGTGGGTCTCTGCGTCCAAACAGGGCCGGACTTCAGGCCACAACCCCAACAGTGAAGTTTCCCTCATTGACTTTGGGGAGGAGTTCCCTCCGTCCACACCCACCCCCTCTCCTGTGGTTGAAATTCAGATTCCTTCGTTGGCCAGACTAGCTTTGGAAGCAGAGAACATCCTGGACAGAACTCCACCTCAAAGCCCCTCGAGGTCGCTGCCCCGCCCCCTTCACCCGACGCCAGTAGTGGACTGGGATGCACGGCCGTTGCCTCCACCCCCGGCCTACGACGACGTGGCCCAAGACGAAGACGACATGGAGGTACGGTAATACAATGCTATTCACATTATGCCAAAATTGACTGGAAGCTGTGATGATGTCGTGTCCTGCTGTCATCTACATCCACAGTTTAATGTGCTGAGTGTTTGAGAAACTTCCTCTTTGTCCACAAAGGTGAGCTCCATCAACAGCTCGGAGCAGCAGCACGAAGAGGAGCTTAGTGATGTCCATAACCCAGATGAAGCTCTCTCCTCTGGGCAGAAGTTGGAGGGTCCAGAAAGACCAGGTCTGGAGGACAACCTCTTTCTTCCCAGCAAGCACAGCCAGGGTCTGTCCACCTCTTTCTCTCAGTCTGCAGAGATCTTTCAAGAGCTCCAGCAGGAGTGCATGAGGAGGCTCAATGTGCCGACAGGAAACACTCCTCGGTCATGTTCGCCCTCCTACAGCTCAGCCTCGTGTCCTCAGACTCCTCAGACCTTTGAGGGACAACAGCAGAGTGTCCTTTCCTCCAGCGAGGACAAACCCCAGATCCCCCCTCGTGTTCCCATCCCCCCTCGCCCCATAAAGAGGGGCGACTACACATCTGCTCGCTGGTCCAGGGACCTCTCTCTTTCTCCAATGCCAGCTGACACCACAGAGGACGTTTCAGGCTCAGGCCAGGACCAACCGCCTCAGATCCCCCCCAGAGACCCTTTGTCTCAGCCAGGCTCCAGAACTCCGAGCCCCATGGGTCTGGTGGTGGGCTCCCCCCAGCAGAGGCTCTACTCTGTCAGCCCCGCCGCCCTGCAGGCCTCCCTCTCATCCTGCCCTGCCGCACACACCTACAGCTCCTACCTCTCCACCTCTCCAGGTAAACTCATGCCTACTACACACAGCTTTGCCTCAGATCCTAAATATGCTGCACCCAAAGTGATCCAGGCGCAGGGGAAGGACACTGCCAACAAGGGCCCCTGCATCCTGCCTATCGTCCGTGACGGACGTAAGGTCAGTAACACCCACTATTACCTCCTGCCAGAGAGGCCGCCGTACCTTGATCGATTCGACCGCTTTTTCAGGGAGGCAGAGAGCCTTCCTGCCGGCGACGCGGAGGACAGGCATGTACGGCAAGCTAACACCGCCACCGTCCGACCCATGGTAGTCAGCAGTCAGACAGTTCAGGGTCACGCCCAGGGGCAGGGGCTGGTCCAGCCGGGCGAGCTAAAGGCCAATTTCTCCTCCAATAACAACAGCACACTGAGCGGGCCACGGTCAGGGATGAAGACATCAGTTAGTCTCCCTCGCGTTTGTTCAGATGGACTGGCGGCGCCGGTGGTCAATGCTTCCTGTACCAGGACAGACGGAGGAGGGAGCTCGGCTGATAGGGTCAAAATGGTAAGGTCTTTTGCAACATCTCATTTGAAATACGCTGCACTTAAAAAGTTAGGATTTACCACTGAAGTTGCTGAAAGCTAATTCAGGTTCTAAACGTTCACACGATGGATGTGGAGCTCATGTAATGGGATGTGTTCTATGTCGTTGACCTCACGTTCTAATCAAAACTCAAAATTACTTTAAATTTGGTAAAAAGTTCTAACTTTAATCTAACAACCGTCTGTTCTTAGTTCACTACAGTTAATGTTGTCGGTAAGGAAAAGTGTTGCTGTGTTGTCTCTGTTTCTGTAACCATTTAGCGGATTTCGGTCCATACGGGAGCAGCTTTTAACTGCTCAGATCTCTCTGTTCAACTTCAGATCATTATCCGTTAAGCAAACTATGATTGATGTGCGACAGCATAGTTTTCAAACTGCAGCTGAACTTTGGAAAGTCGGTGAATTACACTAATTAAATGTGAAATTCGGTCTAAAACTTGGTGCTTGAGCACACACTTTCTTCCATTTTCAAAATTGCCTTCATAACTTATTTAAAATATGCCAGCGTACTTTGGGAGACAAAGGCCATATTAATTTTTGCTGAGAATTGAATTTGAAAGACGACGTAGCAAAAGTTTGATTGGGTTTCTTTATGCTGGTCAATTGATTCTGACACCGACGGAGCCTGACTGGGCCGGAGTCGGAATCACTGTGAAACACTGACGGCGCTGCACTGATGAGGCACTTGGCATTTTGTAGAGGATGCTGAGATCTTTGGCTGCACTCGAGGAGGAGTGCTGTGAGAATATGGGGTCATATATAAAGTGCACTGCAGGCGAGTTCAGTGCAAGACAGAGACGTGAACTACACATTCACTAGCTGTAGTGTTGCAGCAGAGGGTGGCCACGTATGATGCTGTTAATGAAGGAATCAATCAAGTCTGTGCAAAAATTAAAATCACTGATTGTTGCTGCTACAAAGTTCCACCACACAGGAACAAAAAGTTGGTGTTGTCAAAATCAGAGTCAGCTTAAGATGGATTTGTTTAAAGTTATTAGTCTAACTCAGGCAAATATAATTAAGTTTGTGAAGCGATATGAGACAGTTTAATACCTGATCAATGCAGTGATGCTTAATTCTCACGACCTGGATTCTAATCATCACCTTACAGAAAGAAAGTCTGTTGTTTGTCTTAATTAATAATCATTAGTTTGAAAAAAGCTTGAAAAGAGGAGCCCCCGATGTTTATGGTGACAGTAGAGCTGAGGTCTGTAAACAGGAGTGAGGAGTCGGAGGCAGGAGACGAAGGTGTTCTTGGTTGTTGTAGAGATTTACGGTGTTGTTGTGTTGTTCAGGTGCAGGAGGCCGTTCACGGTGTGACAATAGAGGAGTGCCAAGCCGCCCTCCAGAACCACAACTGGAACGTCCAGAAAGCTGTGCATTATCTAAAGGTGAGAACGTCTTCTGCACTTACTCAACACCAGATTTTTAAATCTATAATTCACACTGTGATGCTTCATTAGCTACAGAAATAAACTGCTTTCATAAAGGTGTTGTCTGGAAGCCTCTGACAAGAGATAGTACAATAAAGAATGAGGCTGTACATTTGGTTTTCATCTCAAGTTCTATAAAAATCTCAAATATATATGTACTTACATGTATGTTAGGTTTGAGGACTGGTTCAGGGCATTTGTATGTTTATGTATTGGATCTATATTTGTGTGTCATCAGTACAGGAATCAAGAGCAAGTGTGGCTGTCAATAGCTTCACTGAAAATACTACAGTAGCTAAACCACTTTAGCTTGCATATTAACAAAGTTAGCTAACTACCGTTACGTAAAAGTACAGAGAATGTACTTTTATCTTCACTTTAGCTACTGAGGGTATAGCTGGCTATTTCCGCTGCGCATTAAACGCTGCATTCTGTTGAACTTCCACCATCTGCGCGCTACTGCTCCTGTAGTGCAGATGTTCTTAGTTTTTTTTCGGTGAAGTAGCCGATTTGTTGAGTGCTCACCTCCCTGCAGGCAAACTAGCCTCAGTTACACCTTCTGTGTTCTGAATTGCAGCCTTCATGTGATTTCAATTTAAAATCTATTAATTGTGCAACTCTAGTCCAAATCTAGTCACATTTCTGCGGGGGCACCATCACTGCATCCTGGGCTTAGTGCCGCCCAAGACGATTGTGATGCGTTTAAAGACAGATAAACAAGCCAAACTGTTTTTTTCCCCTGTATGATAAGAAGTTGCGGTTTCTCCAGCGCTGACGTACTGCTGTGGAATTACTTCTGACTTGTGCCATCATTCACATTTTGCAGATGTCTGTATTTTTATGTTTTACCTTCTCATGAGGTCAGAAAAATCTGAAAAGTTCTAATAAATAAAGTTAGATATATTTCTTAGCTGAAGCTATATATATCTTTTTATACTTTCCTTAAAATAGCACTGTTTAATAATATATTCTGTTGTGTTTTTGATAACCTTTAGCTGCCTTTTTCACTTTCATAGTCTCCAAGTACATTATACACATAAAGTGCACAATATGTAACACTTTAGTGAAACAAAGCATGATACCAACAAAGGGCTACAAACATTTAATGGTTTTAGTCCATCAAACAAAGGATGTTGCAGTAGTGCTGCAGAGGGATCCTCAGAGATCCAGCTGACTGCATCTCAGGTCACAGCTTGAGTTGTTTCCTCTAATAGCCTTCTTTAGAACTGTAAACAGGTAGTCAGAGAAACTTGCTACTTTATGGGTTCGCACCAGGACATGATAAGATAACTTAGTTGGTCCTTAAGGGAAAATCAGGAAATTGGTGCTGCAGTGAGCCAGCTATAAATAAAAAAAAAGCATATAGACGCTCTGATATGACTACAGCCTTCCTCAACACCCTCTTAACTGGCTGTGGTCGGGCTCACTGTGGCAGCGAGCAAGATGTGTTTGGACGACAGTGTGCACAAGGGAGCACTTGAGTGTTCCTTGATAGTGCTGGCAGAAGTCTATACGATAAAGAAAAATGCAATGCAGAGGTCTCCGACTCGGCGTGAGCATCAGGAGTGTGTTTGAACAACACGCTGAGCTGGTATAAAGGCTGAAATAATTCTATACTCTGCCACTACAATCTCACTCACATTAAGGAGTAAAGAAAGATGAATCCCGTCGTCGTTCCCCGTGAAGAGCTGCGACGTGACCCGTCTAAATCGTGCCGTCTCATCCCTTCCCTTTTTTTGCTTACTCCTGGCTTCTTTGTGCGGCGGCGGTTCGATCTCTGTTATCTGCCTCTCTGCAGGTGGAGCAGTTGTTCTGTTTGGGTCTGAGGAGCAGGTCGGAGTGTCTAAAGCTGCTGGAGATGTGCGACTGGAACCTGGAGGTGGCCAGCACTCAGATGTTAGATAACTATGGATCCACCACCAGACAGAGGTACCGTGTTCTACAGCTTTGTTGGCTGAACTTCAGGTCATGACCTCCCACAAAGAATCTGTTAGTTTAAGTTGATTACACTCCTGTATTTCTTCTTCACCTGTCCTGACTGTACAGAGCCTTAGTTCTGTATTTAAGGCATCTGTGACACTAATTCCTGTTGAATACTTATTTGGACATTCTTTCCAGAACTTTTGACCTTTTCCCTCACAGTGACAGGAGAACAGTTTTGTCGTAGCTGTCTTTGGAAAAACATACCATTAAAATCTGCTTCTTAGTTGGGCTGCAGGAGATTCTTCCTTCTCCAGCTGCAGCTTTACTCGCTGCACATACAGGACACAGACAGGCAGCAGAGTGATGCAACCAGAACACTGCTTTGCTCTGTTAATGAGGCTGAGGCTCGTCTTTGGCTGCTGCACTCAGAAAGTTTTCAGTTTTGTTCAACTCTTCTATAGAAAAAAAATATATAATATAATGTGTGTGGAAATCTATTTTATTATTTGAGCAATTAGGGCTTTATTTTAGTACAAAGCCTTGTGTTGGCTGCATCATGTTGGCGTCTCCAATCACACCAGAGATTCTAGTGGGTGTCTGGGCAGCAGTATGAAATGCCAAAGCCCTGATTAAGTTGAATATTAACTGTTAATTACATCAACAAAAACTATGGCAAAACAATATTATTTAATGACCTATTTTTGATGGAACTAAATAAAAAGTAATATTTTAAGATCTGTTGAAATGTTTTCCTAATTTCATCACCTAATCTAAAACTAAACAATAATGGTCAAAATGGACAAATGAAATGTTTGTTCACTGTTTCAGTGCTTTTCAGTGAGCTGCAGCTCCTGATCTTGCCACCCAAAGTCCCTCCTGTTCAGTCGATTCATCGGTTTTACCTGTCAGGCTGCTCTCAGTTAGGAAGCTTTTTACATTCAGTAACGTTAATTTAGTACAAGTGATGTAGATGTGACGTTAAGGCTGCCGTCACCCAGATATTGTTCAGACGGCATGAGTCAGATCAGGGACTTATGATGGCGCTCCATCTAGATGTTCACTAAAAAAAAACAAGGTTGGATAACTGTTTTCCAACCATCTCTCCTCAAGCGACACCCAGACAGTAGTTAGGATGGTCGTGAACAAGTGCGGGAAAAAGCTGCTAATGCTATTGTAGCTGCTAATGCTAATGCTAGTTGAGCAGAGCAGACAGAGCAGGTCAGAATTTGAAAATGATAACCAGATTTACTGAGAAGAGCAGAGGGCAACAGACCACAATAACGTGCAACCATGGTAACGGCACACGAAGATAGCGACAGCCTCGAAGAGTTGAAATGATATAAAAATGTAAAAAGCAAAAATGAGACTGAAATGTGACTAATAAAAACCAGACTAGACTGTTGTTAAGTGCTGACTAAATGTAGACTAAAACTAAAACCACTTAAACTTGAATAAATACAAACTTGACTAAAACTAAATCCGTTTCTGACTGCTCATCGCTGGTCTCGTCGCTCTGAAGCAAACTGTGTTTATCACAATAACACATAATGACAAGAGCCCAACAAACTGAATGAGTTGAAATTTGATCTTTTTTATGTATATATTTTACGTGTCTGAACATTGCAGAGCAGCCAAACAGCCAACAACCAAATGATTTATATATATTTTTTTCAAACTTGAACAATGATGATGGAAGTAAATAATAAAAAACGCTGATGAATCCATTTCTAAGGCTCCATCAGTCTGAGCTATGTCAGTTTTGTTTTCATGTTGTCCAGTGACGTCACAGTGTAAAACATGACTCAGCACTATTTGCACCATCATGGACTTCAAGAATCAAACAGGACAAATACAGACACACAGGATCAGTGAACCACAGCAGTAGTATCTCATCACCCAACAGCCAAATCCTGTCTTCTACCTACCAGACTGTTGATTGGAGTTATTCTGTTGCCGCACATGATTCAATGAAGGTAAACACAGCGGACATTTGTGCACTCTGGTAGCACATCTATCCACACATGTGACCTGCTTCCCTCAGACGGCTGCAGGGATTTAATGAACTGAAGCAGAAAGTGTTCATTTTAAAGCAGCTGTGGACAACAGGTACCGTCAGGATCGCTTTTATAGATCGATGCGGACTGATTTACTGATGCTCCTGCTTCAGACACAATAAACATCTTTTTATATGCTAATTTAAACGTCTCCTGTCTGGGAAGAGATTAATTTAAAAAGGTTTATTTACACTGTAAACATTATTCTGCCGTCGTTGTGCGTTTCCTGCGAGCGTATCGTCCGCTGTTGTTGACAGAAGTGGCAGCAGACTGACATCGTCTCCGAGCCAGACGTGGTTCTGAGACATCCAGGATGCATTTTCCACCAAAATACAAACTGTTCAGTTTGTGCTGTCTTTTATGACTGAACCCTGTTGTGCCTCCTGTGCCCCGTCCTGTACACGACTCAGTGCAAGAGCAACGACAGTTTATTGATTATTTTTTTGAGTAATAAATTAATCTGTAATTATTTAGATCATTTAGATTGAGCACTTTTTAAAAGAAAATAAAGTCAAAAATCTCTGATTCCATCTTCTTTAATTGGAACATTTTCTAGTTTCTGTCCTCTGACAGTAAACTGAATATATTTGAGTTGTGGATAAAAGAAGACATGTGAGTTCGTCATCTTGGGCTTTGGGAAATACTTTTTCTGACATTTCTGGATCAAACAACTCATCGATTTGTCCAAAAAAATAATCAACCGATTAATCAATAATTGAAATAATTGTTAGTTGCAGCCCTATGTGGCACCAAAACACCACACGGATTTCAAGGAAGATACCAAACTATGGATTAAACTGGAAACCTCATTCAAGTTAGTTCAGGAAGTTTTCATCTCCTGATTGTCTTAACCTGATCTAAACCTTCTTTGTATTCGCAGACGGTGACAGAAAGCTGAAGCTGCTGAGCTCTGATTGGAGCTTCACCCTCACAGAGGAGGTGAATCTTCTCCCGACTCGTTCTGTTTGATGCTTCAGTCACTAGAAGACTGCAACTCAAGAATCAAGCACAAAACACTTCATCGTGGCTCCATTCGGACCGACTGCACCATGGGTGAAAAAGAAAAAAGACTTGTGACTTTGGTCTGAAAGTTATGTGATTGTTGCACTTACCGAGACATTGCATCCACCATCAATCAACGTTTTTTAAAGGGCAAAAATGACTGCACTTACATGTTCAGGACCAGTGGGTCAGCCTGAACCGTGTCACCCCCGACGGACCCCCCACGGCGTCACAGATTCTGGGCGCTGCTCAGATCCTCTCACTGCCACGATTACACTGTCGACCAACCGCGGTGAGCTTTTCTTTAGCCAGTTTGAAAGTGAAACTGCAGAGGCCAAAATGAGATAATGAGCACAATGTACACAGTAGCACTTTCCCAAAAAAAAAAAGATCCACACTCTGCCAAGAAGTCATCGTGTCCGGACATAAAAACGTTTTACTGAAATCTCAGCACTGAACCCATATCGTGTACATACAGCCCATTAAAGGTCAACCAACCTCCTGTATGAGCAGCTGTAGGGCCACCTGCAGGTACATTTTGTGAATTTTTAAAAAAATCTAAGTACCTCTGACACGTCCGAGCACAGTGAAATACAACATTTTAATTGGCTGTCAAGGCGATATTGCACAGGGGGTAGTTTTTGCCTGTTAACTGTTGTTGAGAAGGGTGTGATTATGATGATTGTCTGCTGCTGAAAGCCTGTGGAGGAAAGTGCAGAAAGAAGACTGCTGCAAAAGAGACTGATTAAGATTTCTCTATAATTATTATTAAAAAAAAGAAAGAGGTTCAGCTCCTTAATGAATTTATGGTATGAAGAGGGAAGGGAGTCACGACGTGGTGCTGCTCTCTCTGCTATCAAGACAATTAACAGAAACACAGGACGGAGAAGCAGTTTGATTCTTTTAAAGACCTACAGGACTGTCGAGTTCATGCTCCAAGGGTATAAACTCTTTACATGTATGTATTTGTGGCAACTGTTTTAAATATTAGTGTATTATTTTAATATATTCTGAAAAATAATCCTAAAAGAGAAGACTGTTATGTCCACTACTAGTCGCAACCTTTTGATTTTCACCGTCTGCCCCCTTAAAGGTGGAGTCAGCAATTCTACGTCCAGGCAAACTGTTTGAACATTTACTAGCTGGACTGGATTTGTGTCGTAGGTTCTGTTTTTTCCAAATCGAAAAGAACATTTCAGATATCGTCGTTCTTCCAGGACAAACGGCTCTCGTGTTTATGGGGTTCCTTCTTACAGATCAACAGTTCAGACGAAGATATTCCACAATATCTGCAGCAGAACTGTGACTAGTCTTTATTTCAGTTTGAGATATCTACGGTTTAATCCTAGCTCACGAGATCTTCAATTCAAGATAATTCCTTTGGCCTTTTGAGATATCCTGAATTAAGTTTGAACTAGTCAGAAAGACCGGTCACAGTGTGATTACAGATATCTTGAATTAGAGTTTTGACTTGGAAAAACGGCGCTGCAGATATCTGGCAGTCGCTATAACTGCATACGACAGATCGTCTTACTGCCACGTCAGAGCAGCCCGAGGCCAAAGTTGTAATTTTTCTATCGCAAGTTTCTACTGAACAGAGCTCTCAGTCTTCACAAACTCCTTGCTGATGGGCTTTTTTTCTATTCTGCAGCCTTTTCTAACGACCTTATCCACCGCAGCAGCCGCCATCACCTCTGTCTGGCAGCACCGTTTAAATGCTTTGCTGAAGGAAGTCATGCACAACACCTTGACCTCACAGATACTGTGCATCGAACTGTTGCTCTGACCAGCCAGAATAGAATAAAAAACCTGACTTGTAGTGTAATTTCAACTAGTCGAACTCGGCTACTTAATGTTAAAACAGCTGCTCGTATGAATATCTGCTCATGCAAGCAAGGGGGAAGGCAGAAGTGGGCGCTCGATGGACCGTAAATCTAACCGAATTAAATATCAACAGAATTGCAGACTTCATCTTTAAATACAAATGTACAACTATTTCCATATGTGGCCACCCAGTCGGTGGAAACTTCCCGCCCCACTGATATGGCCTTTCCTCATTTCCTCCCTCTAAGCACTTTGCCCACACACAAACTCCTGAGCATCAGCTGAAAACTGCTGCCAGCGCGGTGTTTTCTGCACACGCCCCGACTACGTTGGCAGCTAATAACAGCAGCGTAGTGAAATTTACCCCAAAGGAGCGGATCCCGTCCCATAATCATCACTCGAAACCACCGCTGTGATGTTTTGGTCAGCAGCTTTGGGGGGGCAATAATTTAGAAGTGGGAGGACACGTCGGCTCTGGATGAACTCGCCGGCGGACGTGACGGTACACTTTCTGACTATTCTGTCACAGTAGAGGCAGTCACAGCGCAGAGAACATTCAGGCCCGTCCTGGTTTTTTATTCCACATAGCGAAGGACTGAACTGAAAGGAAGGGAAATGAAAGGCGCTCCGCATGCTTTGAATTTGAAAATTCACTTTTATGTGGGAAACCAAATATTGAACAATTCTTTACAGATACCCAGAATCTCAGCAGGGCCTCTTTGTGTAGAAAAAAAAAAAGGAAACCCCATTTGCCAGCTACTAAAGGTACCCATATTTAAGTGTGTGACCACACCATCCAGCCAATCTGAGTGTGATGTTTTTGGGCAGAAACTTCACACGGCCTCTGAAAAAGCTATTCTGGAGCCACAACAAACCTGCGCAATTAGGAGGCTAAATAAAAGGTTTGGAACACGTCCATTAAGGATGCACAGGACTGATTCTGGGAGACTCCGGTGTGCAACAGGGCTGCTGTAAATTCTGTATCCTCCCGGCCAGACTCCACCTCTATCACGATCCCTCCCAGTTCTTAAACGCACTTAAAAACTCTGCTTTCAGTATGAAATGTTTGGTGACTCCCCAGAGCGAGACAAAGTCGTCCTTAAGCACTGATTCAGGATCAGTTTTGCCGGGTTTTTTTTTTCCATGATGAGGTGACGCCAGTGCACGAGGACGCCTGGACGCGAGCTCTGCCTCCACAGTGTTGTTCGTCTTCATACCAAGCTGCTGTAGTTGTATTAGAAGGACTGAAGTGAACCTCGTGGTGTTTTGATCGACCCAAAGCAACGTTCGTCCTGTTGTGGTGTTGAAACTGTTAGAAAACTGTTCTGTTTCGTTTGTCCCGTCTGTTTCTCCGGCTATTTTAAATTGTCCGTGCTGTTCCTTCTGCCTTTTCTTCCTCATTTTTAATGTATTCGCTTCCCAGAATGTGTGTTTCGTTCTAAACGCCTACTGTACAGTTGGTTTTCGTCGTTTCTCTCCTCCTTGGGCCGATGGAAATGAAGTTCATGCTGCCGAATTTATAAATGTATTTTTTATTAAAGAATTAATTATTTTTTACTTCTTTGCCTCTTTCTTTGTCTCGGCGCTCGGATGCATAATAGCTCATTATTAAGATGAGACAAATACCGTATTAATTAGCTTTAATGGGAACTTAAGTGTTTGTGTTCCTTTCGATATGAAGAAGAACAGCTCGAGAACAAAAACCTGCGTGTTTTTAGGTCGCTTAAAAGGATGTAATATTCTAGATCTTCAGTATTTGGACGGTTTGGTGATGATGTTGAGAAGAAGTGCGTGGGAACATAATTATAAATCCAAATCCAGGAGCTACAAAGTATTTATACACTTGGTTGCTAAATATTTTTTTGGGAAGAATCCAGTTCCAGATTTTGGCAGGAAACAGTAGTTAGTAAACCAGTTGAGCTGCTGTAGAGAGCAGGATCAAGGCCAAACTGTTTCATAAGAGGACAGACAGCAGAAAGGAAAGTGGCAACCACATCCCAAACTTCTATTAAACACGTCGAGGGAAAGGCGTCAGCTGGGCCAGAGGAGGGTTTTAAATGCAGCACGACATCTGCCATCAGACATGGGGGTGAAATTGCTGAAAATTGTACGATTGCAGCAGGAGATGTCTGTGAAACAGGAGTGGAACTTTTGGACCTGATACCTTCGGATCTGTCAGAGAGGCCGGATGAAAACTTGATCCCCAGATGGGTTGTGTGGAGCGAAACTCACGGGGTGACGTTTCCTCATTTAGCTGAACAATGATTGTAAACGTGCGGTCGAAGAGCTGTTCAGGGTGAAGAGGAGGAGAAATGTCCTCGGCTGAGTTGGAATCCTTCTGACTAAACAACAAACAGGAGCTGAAGCTGTCTGCAGAGCTTCATGTAAAGACGTCTGCTGGTGTGTTCAAGACTTCAGGCCGACTGCAACGTATTAAGGATCTAGTTTGACTTCATGTGTATCTGCTCAGTTACTCTTGAACCTCTAAACTTCATGTGTTTAAAAGGCTACAGTTCATCTACACCAGAGCTGCTAGTGACGAGTTGTCAACAACTTAATTAATCTTCATCTATTTAAATAATCCATTAATTAGTTTGTGTTCAAGGCGAGATATTTGACGACTTCCTCTCGGGCTCTTTAAAATGCATTTCCTGACATTTCTAGACCCAGCAACGGATCGATTAATCAAGAAAAGAAATCAACTTTGAAATAATCGTTAGTTGCAGCCTTGTTCTATATTGATGTGAACCTGTAGACCAGAGCCTGAAAACAACAACAACAACAACAAAACATTATATCTACATATAAAGTAGGGACTGTATACGTTTAAAGTGCTGAGACAATGATGCCCTACAGCCTGTGAACCTGTCTTCAGGCTTGGGTTGTGTTAATATTGCATATTTATCTTGTTTTTTTAAACTTTTTTTTTTTTTTTTTTTTACAGCGGTCCTTAATAAAGTACGTTTCATGTAGCATGCACACAGTTGGGACGTATTAGTTCGTCATAATATTGTGCCTTGAGCTTTGACCGTTGCAGTTTGTAATGAGGAGTGAGCTGTAACCTGTCAGCGGCTGAATCTTGTTTGTACTCACATGAGATGAGGTGATGTATGTGACATCACCGTGCAGAGGACTGTGGGTCAAAATGGTCAGAACAACATGCTGGCTCACATACGGCAAAATCTGTAAGTACTAGTATGTAGCAAGACATTCAGGTTTTTATGGGATGCATACATTTGACATACCATGCTGTGGAACATAACTGTTACACTGACATCACACCCTTTTTTTCCCCTGGCATACTATATACTATAGGAGGACTTCATGTGTACCGGGTGCATAAGTTAGCTGGTTAGCCCTAAATACAAAGTACAGCTAAGATATGTTTTTGTCTCGTGCAGTCGTGACTCGACAATCCGACCCTTAACAATCCTAAACCTTGCTATCTGACAGGGTTTTAGGAAAAACAAACAGAACCCATAAAAACCCTTAACATACCGACAGCCTTGGATTCTGACTCCGACATGACGGTTTATGTCACCAATCAGGATAACAGCGTATTATCTGACTGAACAATCCCACAGATTGGCTACGTTCACACTGCAGGACTTGATGCTCAATGAGGATTTCTTTGTGAGTTCCTTCACATTTCCAGTTAAATGCGACTTGTATGTGATCTGCCTGTGTGAACTTCATGCGACCCAAAAGTGTCTCGCATGCGCAGAAGAGGACACGACGACATCACACGCAGCGAGCGTGCTCAGTGTTTACGGAAGTTCTGGGACCACTATCCAAACTAGCATCAGCAGCCAAGTACTGCCTGTGCGTTCCGGCCACTTCCATCCCGTCGGAGCGCTGCCCTGGGGTGGAAGTGTCCCACCCCGACCGCGCTGAATATTCTGATATTCATCATTAATTGGGCCTGAATATCCAGAGACCAGATAGTGCTATTGGGACCAGCCCTACTAGTTATTATAACAACTATAAACAATAAATATTAACAACTATTGAGCCTTCCAGCATCAAGCCCTCCTTGTGTCTCGACCTCCGTCTTGACAATCCGACAGCCTTGCTATCTGACATAAAAGAAGGTTTTACATTTAGTGTCGGATTATCGAGTCACGACTTTATTTTGTAAAGTGTCAGAAAGATAGGGGAACCAAGGTGATTACAATTATTCCTGTGGAGAGCATATATATATATATATATATATAAAGTCAGATTATGTAGGATTGCAGAAACTAGCGAGAGTCAAATAGATTTTGAAAAAAAATAACGACCAAAACACACAAACACTCTCCGTTAGAGAACACCCATTCACAGCCAACATAGGCTAACAGAAGATAAAACACCATCAAATGACGGTTGTTTGGAGGCATTATCACAGATACATGTAGATATATGCTAACGAAACTGGAATATTATGGCGCTCGGACAGACACACACATTTAAATGGACATTTGTCATCTGACGTGTTCAGATGCTGCAGGTTTAGGTGAAGGTGTAAAACGTGGCTGCTCTTCGTCTGCAGTTCGGACACTATCTGCTCACTGCTCTAGTAATAGCTGACTGTTCTCTGCAGAGCAAGTTGGCGCCAACGTTTAATGGAAGGACCCTGTAATCGGCCCTTTCAGCCTTTCTGATTGCACTGCAGTGTAGAGCCGACCGGTTCAGCGACGGCGTTAACTCAGAGCGCAACAAAGCTGCAACCGATAGTAGCTGCTGGATGCAACTCCAGTTCTATGAGCACGTAGGACATAGAACTGAATGGCACCTCCTGTTCTCTTGAAGTGAAACCGATCAGCGTCAGGACCCACACGGGAGCGTTTCAGGGCTGCTACAGACCTGAAAGACATTCTGCAGAAAGCGTATGAAGGTTTCAGCTGCCTTTCCCTGTAATTCTAATTCAACTGAAACCGAAACTCAGGTGCTAACGGCTCCTTAAGGATATCTGGAACTCCCAACTAGTCAGTCAAGTCCAGTTGCTGCGATTAAACTATGAGAATAACCATGACCTGGATGACTGAGGATCTTCACAGACACCATTCCCTGTAAGTTCCTTCAGTGAAGAATGGCTTAATGTGTCTGCCTAGCCTTGTGGAAAGATGATGCCCAATGAGTGACCGGTTTAGATAGACATCATCTCAGTGATGCAAAGATAACACAGACTTTCAACTGGATGTTTTGCGTCTTTAACCAAATTCAACAAAACCGTTCCCCTGACTCATGGCTCGTTGGTCTAGGGGTATGATTCTCGCTTAAATCGTTCAAATCCCGGACGAGCCCTTCTGTTCTGCAATTTCTCATACTGTCGCTTTAATCTGTCCAATAGTTACTGAGAAACTTCATTTGAAAACATCAAACTGCTTCAGGAAAAGTCAGAAGATTCAGAAACTTCGTCATCTGGGAACCAAATTTTGAGCCAATCCGACTGGTAGATGCGACTGCCACCCCGAGAGCTGTTCCAACAGTGAAAAATGCCAAACAGCTGTTGGTTTGAGGCGCTTCTCCGCGTTAATGTTTATAATTGTTAATTGAATATTGTGAGGATTTAATCTGCTATTCAGACACAGTGTAATTTGGAGATGTTACCTTAGGCTCTGGGAGCGTCTGATTAAACTAAACTACGAATCACTTCAACAACAGCAACAACAACAAAAAACTAATGAAGTAAACTGTATTGAAAACGATTGCTAGATGGGTACATCAGAGCAGCGGATTGTGTTGTGTGTGTTATGAAACTTTCCCTTCATGGCCCTCGTGTGTGCGAGGTGGCGGATCGATCCGAATCAATTAGGCCGCGTTTATGTTTGTGATCATCGACGATGCGACGCCTTGAGAAAATAAACCTCAGACGCTGCACGTGTCGACCGCATTGATCCTCGCCGCGAACCTATCAATCCACTACATCCATGTCTGCAGCAGCGCTTCATAATTCACCGTTCATAAATTGTTTCCGACGCGTTAGGACCTAAAAGCGCATATCATTTGTTTATCGACGAAGTGGCTGGAATCCGGATGATGAAAAATGCCTCGCGGTCAATAAAACATAAAACGAAAATAAAACTGAACAACGTGGCCGAGCGGCGGAACCTTCAGACACACAAACGCTAATCATCTTTGATCCTCTCTCCTCCCTCATCCTTCGCCGTCCCTCCTTTCTCTCGGCGCACACATCATGCTGTAGGAACACGAGGAACTCCTGCTTACTAATGAGAGACCCAGCAGACCCTCGATCCGTCTTTGTGGTGTGTTTGTGTGCGTACAGTATCATTACTCAGTCCCTGGGCAAATTATTAATGTCTGGTGTTGCAGTTGTTTTGGGCGCCGGGGCAGAGGACTCGCAGGACTCCCCAGAGAAATTATCGCAAACAGAAGAGGGTAAATAAAGAGGGAGGAGAGACAAAGAAAAAGCAGAAGGGAAGCTGCCAAAAAAGTGCCACAGAGCAGATAAGAGGAGGACAAAAAAAAATCCTCCACTATATGTATTTATATATATATATGTGTGTGTTTGTGGGCTTTACAGAATATGATTTCAGTATCTCCCTTTGCTTGTT